CGACTTTTTTCTAGCTACTGTCAATTTCTTTGTGAGCCAAAAACACAAAATACAGCTTTTGTCTTTGAGGTGCCGCGCCGCTGACGCTTGTTTGTTCCACTTCCACATTCATAAGAAAAAATTACCTGGATTACTCTTCATACCTATTGAAATTTAAAATATTATTTTGTTTCTCAAATGTCCGGTAATATTTTATGACTAAACAGGATAATTTCTTTGATTAATGGACTAATTTGTAAATTGATACAAGAAGGACTTATTCATTTCTTATTTACTGCGTCGCCGCCGCTGGATGGGTGCAATCCGAATGATATTAGGAAGAAGCGCGGAACTCTTTGAGCTTGGCCCACAGACCCCACGCCTCTGTTCCTATTCTGGTATGGGCACACCGGCGTATTCATGGGAGGGCTTTGGGGCTCCTCGAAGTCTCCCCTCCCGAAGCGTAACAGCTCATTACGCTTCTTCTACATATTACAGCATGTTATTATATACCTTCTGTGAAGTGTAGCTACCTGGACTAAGCGACCCCCCCTCTCTGCTATGCAGTTTTCTATCTCCAAGACACCTCTACCCCCCGAGACGGAATTTTCGTGACCCTGGATCCTGAGCCTCCCCCCAGATCTTTTTCTGGATAACACCACTGCTTGATCAGTATCTCAATCTACAAGAAACAATTACTATCGCGAAATCAACCATAACAATGGTTCCTACAAATCACATTTATGAGCACATTTAAAATTTCCGTCATCGGTCATAACTGATCATAATTGTCTGTATTAGCATTGGCAGGATTTCTGAAAAAGCAAAAATTCGATATACTTGAATTTCTGCCTAAAGTGGCTGAACCTACCAGTATGTTTACAAAGTAAGAAGCATGTAGACCAGAATGCAGTTTTGTATAGACACAGAAAATGGTTAAACTAAATACTGGTGAAATTCCTTTCAGAGCTAATGAAATTAGTTGCAACTAGAACAAATAGCTAGCGCTAATTTCGTGAAATAAACGGTTTTCATATTTACATTTGAGATGTGAATGTTCAGTTTCCAAACGTAACTATGTTCTGTAGCCTAGCACTTACGGCTTGTCTATTCAATACCAAACATCCAACCTACCATACCAGAATTAATCAAACCTGCTTCTCCCTGAATATTGAAATTTGAAAGAAACATTTTGCTTTTCAAAAGCCTGCGGATATACTACAAATGAAGTTGTAATCTGCATTGAAAATCATACCGTATTGGGAATTTAATTAAGCCTGCACCTCATCAACACCAATATTCCACCGCCACTGGACACCACTCAACAAAGCCGGTTGCTTTTATCTATAATTTATTGCTCGGACATTACCGACCAGTATCAGTAATGCTTTTTAGACTGTCTTCGGCGCTAATACAAAGTTGCAATTCAGTATTTTGGGAGGCCAGAAGATGAAAGAGGTATGTGCAACTTTGATCGCTTATTTTTGTACTTTTCTACGTTGGTCGAATCATAGTATGGGTGTCAAACGGGAAATTCTATTTTTCCAGGGTGTTCGCTTTGCCTGGGTTTCCCCTATGTAAAATAAATTATGTAACGTGTTAATAAGTCATTATTTAATAGATAAGTGTGTTTAATAATAATCAATCAAAAATATGATTAATATTATTATTAATTGCTTAAGTTAACTAACACTAACTACCGGCGATACATAGAACACTGGTGTTCATTCATGTTTATACATTTGTTTACTTTCCAACATTGCTTGGCGGCCAGGGAGCAGGGACGTCACCTGGCCATCGTTCCTAAAACGCCAAAAGCCCTCCAAATACGCGAAAACCCACTTAGAACTGTTGTCGTAACACACAGGTTAGTTGTTATGCAATCGTCGACTAAAATGTGCAAATGAATTGTTTATAGTCTGAAACGCGAGAAATAATACTTCGGAATTTCAAGTGAACCATGTTGTTTGCTCTCGCGCTTTAGATCCATAAACAATGTATTTGCACCATTTTAGTCGCAGATGCATAACAATTAACCAGTGTGTTACAACAGTTATGAGTGGTTTTTTTTTTGGAAATCCTTTTGGGACGAGGGTTACGTATCTGGTACATTAAAAAACGACTGGATAAGTTTCAGATGTTACAAACAGGAAAATCTATTGGTGATATATGGAGTGTCCCAGATTCGCTTCTCTATACAGCGATCTCGGCTCCTGTTATACCTACAGCAAAATCGTTTTTTAATTTCTCGCAAACTGCCTCAACTTTCAATTTTCTTATGGACGCCATATTGGATTTTTTGATTTTTGAAAAGAGCGTAAAATTTTCAGCCTAGTGATGTCACACTAGTGCATAAAAGATTGGAGTATCATCGAAATACCATCACACGTAATGTTATGTATTATTTTTTTTCTAAGGAGGCCCTGATTTATTTGTCAAAAAATGAAATTAATAAATAACGAATGTTTTTCATCTATCGAGGCTCTGACTTTGACGTTAAATTGAAAGTATTAAAACCGTGTTTTAGTAAGTAGTAGGTACGTTTACTCTCATAAAATCATAAAAAAATTGCCAAGACCTATTGGAAATGGCCGTTATTCTCTACTCAAATCAAGAAAAGTTTGTCATGTTAGCGCTGTACTTGCAGTCACACAGAAACGCCGACATTACCTCAGCAAGGTACTTGGAGATGTACCCCAAACGACGGCAGCCTCATAAAACCCAATTTAGAAAAATAGTAGTTAATTTAATATACCATGGGGCCTTCGAACAACCTAGAAGCGGATACAATAGTGAAAATGAGTAAGAACGAGAAATTAGTGTGTCAAAATCAACAGTACAGTGAGTGTTAAATAAGAATAAGTACCATCCATACAAAAATACAATAGTTCAAGGAGCTAAGGAAACTGATTTTCCAAGGCAAATGCGCTTCTGTGAGTCTTAGACTAGGAAGTCTAATGAAAATCCCGATTTTGTAAATCATGTCTTGTGGTCGGATGAGAGTAGGTTTACGAATTGTGGAGTTTAGGCGTATTTTTTAATTCACCGGTTGAGCCACCGGTGCAACCAAAATTTCCGTCTGAGCGACCGGTTGTACACCAAACTTGTCTATAAACTATATAGACAAGTTTGGTGTACAACCGGTCGCCCAGACGGAATTGAAAGAAGAAAAATCGGTTAATTGCTTGCACCGGTGGCTCAACCGGTGAATTAAAGAATACGCCTTTTTTTAATATGCACAACACTCATCATCACTTGGCTGTGGAAAACCCTCACGAAGTGGCAGAGAGACGTCTACAGACCAGATTTGGAATTAACGTTTGGTGTGGGGTCATTAGTAATTTAATCTAACTTACCTTTTTTAATTGGGCACCTATTTGAAATTAGGTACTAATCACTTCAGGAAATCGACTTATAGGACCATTTTTGTTTGACTATAACCTAAACGGACAAAGGTACCTATAGCTTTTGCAAAACCAGGTTTTGCCGGCTTTACGAGCTAGTCTAACCGAAGATTAGTTTAGAAGAAACTGGTTTCAACAGGGTGGATGTCCGGCTCAAAACACCATTAAAGTCAGGGACTTCTCAAGAGAGCAGTTTGATGAAAGAATAATTTCATTAAATGGTCCAATATCTTGGCCTCCTAGATCCCCTGACCTTTCGCCCTTGGATTTCAACCTCTGGGGTCACACAAATAATGAAGTCTATGAATTTGATCCTCCCGCGACTATAGAAAGCCTGAGACAAAGAATTTTTAGCACAGTTAGAAACATTAACAGAAATACACTAGCTAAGGTTGTACAAAAAACAGTCACCAACTGTCAAACATGTCTGGATGCAAATGGACGTTATTTTGCAAATCTGTAAATCAATAGCCGCTTATATAATTAGATTTTACATTACATTACAATTTTGTAAAATTTTTGTTTGTTCAAGTGTGAAATAAATTTACGACGATTTTTCTGACTATTTTTTTAACACACTCACAGATGGGAATTTATACCAAAACCTTCGAATTGTTGAAAAGTCGATATTAACGTTAATATTCTATTGAAAATTCAAGGCGTTTATCTGTTTTTTATGCCTTACTCATTAATTTTATTTTCTGACAAATGTGAGACATCACTAGACTGAAATTTTTACACTTTTTTCAAAAATCTAATATGGCGGCCATAAGAAAAATGAAAAGTGGGGAAAAGGGGACGGTTGCTGGAAAACAAAAGGACGATTGAGACGTCATAAATGCTAACTCATTTTTCTTAAAAAGACATTTTGACAGCTGTCAAATTAACCATTTTGGATCTACTGGCAAAAAACAAATTCATAAATCTAAAGACGGCTACCGAAAGCACTAGTTTCCTCTAAGATTTTCCCCATTCAACCCTTGCTGTGGGTATAACAGTAGCTGAGATCCCTGTATAGAGAAGCGAATCTGGGACATATATGTTGAATTAGTGCACAAGGATTACCAGGGTTAGAAGCGTGAAAAATGAGATATACATACATACAACCCCCAATCCAAATTTTTGCCCCGCAAAAAAACTTTCCAAGTATAAATAGAAATATCCGACGCGTCAAAAAAAAAAACGAGGATTGATTTTTATATTTTTTGTTTTTTCTTCGTAGCTCGTCCGCCACTGAACCGATTTAGAATAACCACAAACATTTTCAACCTTTCATACAGCAACATAGTAACCTTTGTTTTTTTTCATCAAAATCCGATCAGTACTTTCTGACAGACAGACTAATGGAAATTAGTCATGTAACAAAAAACCATGATACCTCATTTTCGAAATTTTTCGCGTTTACACAAATCCCTCCTGGCGTGAGAAGTCGAAGTCTATCAACGCAAAAAGAGCAGATATTAAATATTGTAATGGGATTTCAGTCTTTAAAATAGTACCAAACCGTACACAAACAGTAAAGTGGAATGGATGGATGCACACTGCATAAAAAATTCAATATATAAAAGTAATAGCGGAAATAATAGTGATAAGGTAACGCAGAGCCGTAAATACTACTTACAATCACATTTATGAGCACAATCTTCTCCAAACCTTCCATCAAGACAATTCTTTTCGCAATGCTCGCCTGTAAATCCAGGTGGACATATACATGTACCATTAACTGCTGAGCACTGGGCATTATTTTGACACCTGCATAGTCCATGACATCCCTTTCCGTAAGTCAAGAATGGGCAGGGTCTGCTGCAATCACCGGAATTCCAACCTGGTTTGCAGTCACATTCACCAGTCCAAGGATGACACCTGTAGCATTTTGGAATCTTATACACATTTCAAACTAATCCAATAAAAGAAGAAATCTTAGTACGGTTGCTCGGCCAAAACGTTATCAAACAATTGGTGAAATTTTAGCTTGGCTACTCCAGCCGCATTAACTCCGCCGCTGTAGATTTTTGGGTTGTAGATTATGAATCTGGTGCTAAAAAAGGTGATAAATGTGAAATTTGTGAGATATTTACATGTTAGAATTTTTATCATATTTTTATAACCTAACTACTTTCCTTCCAATGTTTTCTCAAGACATTCACTTTAAATACTCGTAGAATCGCCAACAACTGCCATTAACCTGTGATCAACAACTGCCGTTAACCTGTGATCCACAACTGTTTTTTAGTCTAGTGTACGGCTCGACAGCTAGTCTGTTCTCATTTGAGTATATAACTTAAAATTTAGGAGAAATATTTATCCATACTAATGTGTATTTACAGCTCCTGCTCTGCCTTTTGGTCTACCTTTTCCTTTTTGCACACATAGTTTCGTTAGATCAAATATATGCACATATCCCTCTTCTCCTCTTTGGTTGCGTGTGCCTGAACAACTAAATCGCTATCAAGTCTGCTTTGTTGTGTAAAACACAAAAAATGGGGGAAGAAGTCACGCGCACATATTCTGGCCTCATCCTTGAGATCCGCAGGTGGTACCTCCACGCTCGTCGATATGGCATCGTCTACCACCTATGGACAATATCAAAATCCATAGCCAAGAGAAAAATTCTCTGTTTTCCATCTAGACAAAATGTAATTAATAGTTGAAACACATTTCTAACAAATGGTGTACTTTATACTGAGTTTTCTACGCGTGTGTGGAAAAAACGCATTTGAAATTCATACATTGGAAGAAAACTCATTCACGACTTCTGCATTTCCCGCTGGAGAAATCAATCAATAGGATTTGCTTTCCATTCCGGACAATGATAGAACATATCGACACATAGCGAACCACCAACGTTCAAAAATAAAGGTGTTTCCCTGACATATTACGGGAGTCTAACCTTCATGGTAGCGGTAGGGTCACATTCCAAAGATATATCATGCAAAAAATTATTACGTCAGGCTAGGAACTGATTACGTGCTGCTTTGTATCGAAATTGGCTTGAAGCTTCGAGAGAAAGAACACTTTGGAGGCAAAATACTGATATCCTAATATTATATAAATATTTTTCGAAATATCCCATCGTCCCTGTATATCGATATTCTTGTAAGGGCCCTCAGTTCTCGGGATGCAACATCAGTACGCTGCTAAGTATTTTAATGGGTTAGTTTGGCTATGGGTAATGTCGACGTCCCATGGTGTGGGGGGGTTCCTTATTCAAGACATCCTAAAATGCTTTTAACATAAGTATCCGCTACGTCCGATCATTAAGCATTAAATTAACCAATCATGTAAAAGAGCAATATAATTGTTTTAGAGTGCCTCAAATGAAACTAAAATTTCCTTGTTTAATTAATATAATATATAAGTACTTAAGCTGTACAGTATAAAAATTGCATTAAAAAATCATTTCATTGCCAGCTTTGAGTATTTCATGGAATTGTACATATATGCCAGATATTAATAACATCCAATTATTATGTTACTACTACCTATGCTAATGAAAGTAAATCATCTGGACCCGCTATAAAGTGATTCATTCATAGCAGATGAGTCACATCCTGTGCTAATTCTAATTAAACACAATTTCACTTACATTTCCTTATGATACAATTTTGACAGGTCATTGGAACAGCTTAGCTGAGTACTGAGAAGACGTTAATCGAAAAAATGTTTTTTTAAAAACTCTCAATCAAAAATCAAAATGGCGAATTCATTATGGCGGATATTTTCACAAAAGATGATCCGCTTGTGCTGAAAATCTTTTTTTTTATGTTTCACAGATCGCTGAAAACAAAAAAATGTTTGGATTGCGCTCCAATTAGAGTGTTGTACGTTTTTAAAAAAATGTTTCAATTGTGCTCAAATTGATGAAAAACCACACAACTTTTGTATATTTTTTTTTCGTAAATAGCCGTTTGCAAAATAAAACCAAAAACCAGTTTTTGCCCATCTTTGACCAACCTTGAAAAAACAGCAAGAATAAAACCGTTGCATTTAGTGCATTTGAATCATCTTATATTTATTTTACTTTTTCGTATAGTCGCGCCCGCCCCTTAATTTTGGCACCTAAAAACTTAATTTGCTTGGAGTAACATGGGGGACGCGCCAGAGAAGTATAAATATTAACACAATTGCACTTACATTTCCGTGTAATCCTTGCTACACCGGCATGGGCGGGCGCACTTTAGCCCGTACCATCCATCGGGGCATATTCTCTTGTCACAGTATTTGCCTTTCCATCCTTTCGAGCAAAGACAGTTGCCGTTTTTGTGGGAGCACTTGGCGCCATTTTGGCATAGGCATTTTTCTTTACAGTCGAGTCCATACGTTCCTTCAGGACACGTATCTAAACACTGAAATGAAACAAAGTTTGGAATGAACTGATTACACCTTCCAATGATTATATTTTATTGAATCCTGATGGAAAATCGGTAACAGGTTGAAATTTGGCATAATCGTTTAAACGTGGATGTATTCTTCTTTTCTTTATAACTCTAAAAATATGAACATTTTTAGAAATAGGCATCCGTAGAACAAAATTTATCATAGGAGCAGTATTTTACAATGTTTATCGGGGTCTATTAAATATTGCGCGAGTGCACTAAAAAGGAATGTATTTCAGAGTGGTGTGAGGGTGGTGCTATTTCAAGTCATGCGCCGCCTCACTTTTTGTTGAATATCAACCCATTGACTTCGCTTACATGTCTGGAAGAAATGTCAGCAATGAGCTTCTCGCCGGGCGTGAAATCCAGCGATATCTTGTAGTCTACCCATCTACCGCATTCGAGTAGTTGATTAAGAGTACCCTCCTCTTCGTTGCAATATACGCAGTTCGCGTACTCTCTCTATCCTACCCTATTCAGGTAGCTGCTAGCTCAAAACAACCATGCCCTCTGAGCAACTGTGCAGTATAGTAATCTATCCACACCGCTCCCTTGTCAATCCAAGTTTTAATATCTGGGATCAGCTTTCTACTCCATGCACCATGGCCAGTATGTCCCATGTCTCCTACCATCTAACAAAAAGCGCCTCCCTTTCATCGCTTCTAGCTTTGACGCGTTTTTATAAGAATGGATGTTTAAGAGTATAGTATGAAGTAGATTATAGTTCTTTTTTCTACATACCCTGTCTCCGGTGAATCCAGGTTGACACTCGCAAGATCCATTGATATGGTGACAGGATGCGCCGTTATAGCAGTTGCACAGTTCCGTGCAATTGACACCCCAGTGCCCGAATGGACACCTGTTGGCACACACCGGTCCCGTCCAACCGTCCTTGCAGTAACAGAAGCCAGTCTCGGGATCGCAAGTGCCGCCATTCTGGCAGCGACACTCTGATTTGCATTCAGGGCCGTGGGTGCCGATTGGACATGGATCATCGCACCTACAGATATAATAAATAACGATAAGTCTATGATAGTATAAGGGATATAAATACTAAAACTCGAGAAGATATGCTCACTTCGCGATCGAATTTCGTATCCCTTTACGCATAGCGTCACTCGATGACAAATGTTCCGCTCGTCGGTATCTAATGCACTGTATTACGAGCGTTTTCTTTTGAATATTTGGAATATTTGCCTAACATTTTTTTGTATTATAGATAGTTAATCTTTTTTATGGGTTAGGTGTCAATAGAACTATTTTGTATTGATAAACACTTTTATTCGGTTTATCTTACAATTTTCATCGTTTTTCTCTTATCAATTCTGGACTTTTCTTTTATATCTCATCCTGATATTAAAATACATTTTACATCTGAAAAAAGATGCTTGGCGTCTGCACTTACACTATCAAGCTTGGCTAAATCCATTAACGATTTTAAATATTGGTCAATTTTTATTGAAATTTCTGAAAATATGGTCCAGTTTATTACATTTAATTAGAAAATCTGGATTTCTTTTCAGTAAGCCACCTTCGGAAAGACGGTTTTGCCAGGAAAATGGCATTTCATTGCTTTCTGGAATATAATTCTTTTTTTTTTCTGTAACTTACATGCAATAAACCCCGATAAATTTTTTATACCGTCCCACTCTACTTCTTAAACACGTTATTTTCCCTTTCCGTTCACAATACAGAAATGAATGATGATGGATCCCTGTAGACTAATCGTCCGGCCATGCTTTTCTTCACCGATTAATTATCTTAGCTTCACAAATTACAAGGTGCACTCCCATCTAAGAAAGAAGGGCAGAAATATCCTTCAAATTTATTTGCAGCCTATATTGCTCTGCCTGGGACCATAATTGGAATGACCTACTTGAATACATCGCTGTCAATATCAACTTCCTCCAACTTCCCGTTCGTCACAAGCCAGTAGACTGCTGGATCTTTTCTGACCATGCATCCCGCCCCTTACAGCGCTGCTGTCCTGTCCCCCCTGGTTAACTCAAACCACAGTGTTGTGGAGGTCTGGTTTGGGTCAGAACTGGCTGTGGCAGCAGAAACTCGCCCGAGCCACAAAATACACTTTTTCTCCGCCTTCCCTTGTATAACCCGGTTGCGTCGGCTGGCTATTCATAAATAACCGAAATTATCCGCATTGTGATGGAGAAATACATCCCTCATACAGTGAAAGTACCTAAACCAGAGTCCTAGGGCAGGTTCAACAAAACGTGTGACACTGTTCGTCAGCAGAAGATCAAGGCAAACAGAACCTCCTTACAAACACCAAAGTAAAGAGCAACCTGCACCACTTACGTGCCAGGATGGCACAACTGGTACCGACTCAAAGACTGTGATGGTTCAGAGTGTTCCGACCATGTGAATTTCCCATTTCCCGCGCGTGCAGTGAACAGTTTCGTGGATAGTTTGCTCACAACGGCAACATTGTAGGAGCTGCGGAGAGTGCGGAGGCAGTTCGCCCTAGACACTCAAGAAGAGGAGACGCTCTTGCGCCGCTGCGGCCACCGTCTTGTAAAACTCTGTTTGTTGTCAGTGAATATATGTAGTGGATATTTAGTGAATTTTATTAACCACGCCCATCGCATTTTTGGCGCCCAACGTGGGGCACGATCCAGCCCAGAAGGAGAAAAAGGAGTTAGAACTACGAGGTCAGCAACGAGTTACCAGTGCTACCAACGGTTTGGGGAAATTGAAGTCACCAGTGCTACCAACGGTTTGGTGAGAGCTGAAAAGTTACCAGCAAAACGAATTAAAACAAGAATTGTTTTGAACCAAGTAAGCAAATTAGCAATCCGGCTTTGAATTAAATTTACATAAGAGGCTACAAGATCTGCTACAAGTCTTGAGTCAAGGCTTTTTCATTAGAGTTCCGTCAGCCTATAGGCGAAATTACAAACCTGCTGACATTCAGTCTGCAGGAGCGACGAGGAATTATCGGGTGAGGCTAATCCATTTTCATAGTACTGTTGCAGTGTGGGGGGTGACTTTTTTTTTCTCGGATAAATACTTTTCGCGTACAGACATTGTCATGTATTTGATGCTTTTGTTAGGTTATGAGACATTGTAAAATTCTTGTTAGTTACTGGCATACATTTTATAACAGCAATTATGGGTAAAGGTAAAAAGAGGGGAAGCGAAAGCAGAAACAATGATTCTGGCTCTGAAACCCAATGTGATATTGAATCTGTTATTGGTAAATTGACGGAAACCGTATTAGATCTCAGAACTATGGTGATCTCTTCGGCAGAAAATGTAAAGGATATTGAAAAGCGCTCAGCACAGTATCAGGGCTCTACTACTCAAACCTTAACTTCAAATTCTTTCAAAGTGGAGCAATCTGCTACATTTGTAAACAAAGCATATATTTCGCATTGGAGAGAACTAGGAGAGGGAATATTCATTTCAGTCCTGGAGGGAAATTGCATCCGCGAGCCTTCTTAAATAAAATGAAAAAGCTTCTCGCTGAGTTCCAGAAAGGTCTAAAATCAGTCTTGTTTTACCATGCCTCAAGGGCAATGCAAGTGATTTGGCCGCAATAAAAGATACCACTTTTCAAAATTATGAAAATTTTTAAAACGCATTTTTAAATAAATTCTGGGGGGTAGAACGTCAGAGAGAACTTTACCTCACTCTGAATTATGGACAGTTTCAAGGGAGAAACCGAGCAGAATATTTCCTTAATTTAGTCTGCCAATTACCGCACCTATCAGAACCAATTCCGGAGGCAAAACTGATAGAAATGTTAGCGAGACATTTTAGTCCAGAAATACGAGGTATTGTTACCATGGGGCTTAAAACAATTGACGAGGTAGAGGAATACCTTCAGAAAATTGATAACACTTATTCCGAAACTCGGCCAACTAATCAACAGCAATTAATGCGCCATAATCGAAATAGCCCTTGGCGAAATCAGCCTAACAGAAATTCTAATTCAAACGCGTTGTCGCATCCTGATCAGTCGAGAGACACCCGTAATGATAATCACAGAGCAAATAATATCACCCGCTTTAACGAAGATCACGAAAATATTTTAAGTGATTCGGATGATGAATTTGAGGAGGAAAATGATAATACGGAAATGTCATTGCCTCTCATTGATGTCCAAATTGCTGACATAGAAGCCGAAGCACTAATAGATAGTGGTAGTGAAATTACAGCCATATCGAGCGATTTTATTGATAAGATTTCCAGCCGAATTTCCGTACCTGTTTTTCCAGTTACGAATGTTACCGTGTCTATGGCTGTAGGGGGTCAAAAACATAGGGTAACCACACAGATTTTATTACCCATTAAAATTCAAGGTAGTTGTATAGAAACGCAGTGCCTAGTAATCCGCAATTTAAATAGTGACATCTTGCTAGGATACAACTGGTTAAAAGAATATCATGCATTTTTGAATTTCGGGAACAAAACTATGTGTTTCCATATCCCAAACACTGAGGAAACCTTAAAAATCCCATTTAAATCTGAGATCGCCGAAGATCCATCATAAAAATTAATTTATGCAGGTCAGAACCTGAAAACTTCAGCACGACGGAAAAAATTAGTCACGTTTCTATTTTTAGCGAAGAGACACCTATATATATATATATATATACAGGGTGACTTTGAAGTTGAGTCATTTATTTTAACAGTGAGTAGATCCGATCAAAAGAAATGTTTTTTTCCTTTAACATTTTTCTGGTAAAATTAAAGTTACAAAGTTATAGCCCCTTAGAAGTTTGAGTACCGCCCTGTCTCAATAATAATATTATGTGCTCGTGTTTGGCAACAACGGATATAATCCGCCTTATCCGTTCATCGCATCGGAAACAAAAAAGCGAAAGAATTTGAAACGATGTTTTTACTACAATGTACAATCTTATTCAGTTGTATTCAGTCGATGTGTCAGTCGGTAACGCGTGAGTGAATAGTGGTGTTTCTTGCGTGGCTCAAACGAAATAAAAAATGGCACATGTGTACGAAAATGCTGAATGTAGTACAAAGGGCTCGTGAATCAGGTGACTTAAGACCTCACAGGGGAGGGCATGCCGGTGCTCCAAGACCGCACGATCAAATACAGGTCCGCACTGAAATACTAGTCGGGAGGATACTTTATAAAACAAGTTAACATTTTTTTTTTATTTTTACTCACATGGTTTGGTTTATCTTCCTTCTACAATCATTGTCTGAAAATTAATGACTCAACTTCAAAGTCACCCTGTATATATATATATAAGTCATCAAACAATGTTGACCTGATCCTGAAAATTTTCACTTTTACAATAGCAATTTTCGTAAGTATTTTGATCGGTTAATTTCACTTGAACCTGTTTCTGAAGTCACCGTTTATAAATATCTTTATGAAATAAACTCTTGCAACTGGGGCGGATGGTATTAATGTAGGAATGATACTTTTATGCTGTCTGTACATTTTACCAGCCATAATGCATATTATTAATTGTTGCCTAATAGAAAATACTTTTCCAGACTGTTCCAAGCCTGTTCTGTGTGGGGTACCTCAAGGCTCTATCTTGGGTCCCTTACTTTTGCAGTATACTCTGCAAATATTACTAGTAGTTTGAGATATTCAACGCCTTATTTATATGCTGATGATACCCAGATAAAATTTTCGTTCTCTCATACTGATACAACAACTGCGGTTACATTATTAAATGAGAATCATAGTAATTTGACAAACGAAATCATAGCACATGAGTTATCTGTAAATCCAACGAAGTCAAATGTTTTATTGTTCGGGAAACACAAAAAGAGCGTGGCAGATTCATTCCATATTTCAATTAATAATAATGTTATTTCTCATACATCCGCTACTAGGAATTTAGGCTTGAATATGGATAGTGACCTGAGGTTTTCAAAGCATGTTGATAAGTGCATTGGCCTTGCTTATGGTCGGCTTGTAATGTTGTTTCCATATCGTCATACATTATCTTTTATACCGAACTTAAGGCTTTACTTTGCGTCACGCTTGTTCTTTCATTATTCAATTACTGCGACTCAGTTTATGGGCCTTGTATAACAAGGTACGATGTTGATCGTATACAGCGTGTCCGAAAGTCTTTTCTTAGGTTTATTTTTGGAGTGAAAAAATGTGTACCTATTTCTTATAAGTTACCCGTAATAGGATGACTAAATGTGGAAGCCAGGAGAAATCTGCACTCTGCAGTCTTGTTTCATAAGATTATTCCATATAAAACTCCGCCTTATTTATAACGGGTGGGCCATCTATCGGTTTCGATTTGAACCACGTGTTAATTTGACGCTGACAATACTTATGTCAATCTGATTTGTCATAAAATTCAGTATATTATCTCCGCTGAACGAAATGAATCGATTTACGCTTGAGCAACGTTGGGTAATATTGGAAATTTATTTCCAAAACAAAGACAATTGGGCAGAAATTGCACGAAAATGCCGTTCAAAATTCGGTCGCAACGAAGCACCAACAGCGCCCGGTATACGCAAGTTTATTAATAAAGTGCGTGAAACTGGTTTCATTGTTGATGCTCCAACACGTCAGCGTGCTCGTACAATGCGTACACCCGAAGGTATCGATGCTGTGGCTGCGAGTGTGCGTGAAAATCCATCAACGTCAACACGTCATCGTTCCCAAGAATTGAACATTTCCCGCACCAGTTTACGACGAATTTTGCGGAAAGATCTCGGTATGACGCCTTACAAAGTTCAATTGGTTCAAGAGTTGAAGCCGCGTGACCATCCACTTCGTTCTGCCTTCGCTACATGGGCCAACGAGCAACTAATCAATGATGTCGATTTTGCGAAAAAAATAATCTTTTCAGACGAAGCTCATTTTCATATTGGTGGCTACGTCAATAAGCAAAATTGCCGTATCTGGGGCTCGGAAAACCCACACGAGGTCTTAGAGAAGCCAATGCATCCCTTGCGAGTGACTGTTTGGTGTGGATTGTGGAGCGGAGGCATCATTGGCCCATATTTCTTTGAAGACGGGGACGGCGCAACCGTTTCTGTCAATGGAAACACCTATCGCACCATGATAACTGATTTTTTTGTTCCTGCTCTTGATGGTATTGATGTGGAGAATGTTTGGTTTCAGCAGGATGGTGCAACTTGTCACACATCGCATGCCACAATCAACTTATTGCGCGTAACCTTCGATGGCCGTTTAATCAGTCGAAATGGTGATGTCAATTGGCCGCCAAGAAGCTGCGATTTGACACCATTGGACTATTTCCTGTGGGGCGCTGTTAAAGACAAGTGTTATGTCGACCATCCAGAGACAATTGACCATTTGAAGACCAACATTCGTGATGCCATTGACGAGATACGGCCCCAAACACTCGAAAAAGTGCTCGAAAATTGGTCCGATCGAATGGGCTACTGTGAGGCCAGCCGCGGCAGCCATTTGAATGAAGTAATATTTCATTTCTGAGCGGAACAATTGTACTTCAAAACAAAAAAATAAATTTGGCAATATCTCAAACCGTTTTTGTTTTATTTTATTTTTAAATCGAAACTTTTAAATGGCCCACCCATTATAATAAGATTACATTTCGAAGTGATGTTCAAAATATCAATATGTTTTTTTGTTAAATCTGCCTAAAATAATTTGACGCTTATTGACGAATTATTGTTTTTAATATTATATTTAACTTATATAATTTGGTTGAGAACTCCTCTGTTGTAATTTTGTTTGTTGGGCTAGTACTTTGATCAGCTTGTCTGTTTACTAGTCCCTTTTGCAGGGAATAGATGTTGTTTCTTCATTTTTAATTTTTTTCGCTTTGTATTTTGTTTTCTCTGCGAGTAAACGCTATTATTATATTAGGAAAGCGTTCGATTAGCTGTGGCACGCTGCCCTCTTATACAAACTTCCATTCTATGAGCTCTTAGAGAAGCTTTGCAGATGGGTGGTTGACTTTCTGTCTGGCCGCAACATATCCGTCTTAATTCCTACAACGTTAACGCGGGTGTTCCCGAAGGATCGGTCTTGGCTGAGACACTGTTCCTCTTACATATCAACGACATCCTTTCATGTACGATCAATCCAATTCACAGCTTTGCTGATGACAGCACTCTACATGCAGGAACTCAGACCGTCAAGCCGATCTCTGCCGGTGAGCTGGAGAAAAAAAGACTAGCAGCGACTTCCTCTCTGGCGAGAGATCTGGTGCTTATCACTGCTTATGGACGCAGAAATCTGGTACAGTTAAATGTTTCCAAAACACACTACTGTACCTTAGCGAACAAGAAGCATCCTAGCGCTCATCCGGTTTCGATGGATGGCCGAGTTTAACCAAAGAGCCATTGATTCCGGCTTGTCGGAGTCCATATCACCGAGGATTTGATCTGGCACGAACGCATGTTAGGTTATTAGGTCTGTCAGTCTGTCGATCTGTCTGTATGTCCGCTAATCCTTGGCCCGTATATTTTGGATAGTGTCGATCAGATTGGGATGAAATCTTCAAACAGGGTTACTACTACTCCTATGCCAAGAACGAAAAAGCTATGTAGTTTTTGGAAATCGATCCATAGGCGGCGGAAACAAAGGCCACAAACAAAAAAAAATTAAAACCGCTTATACTACCTATAATTTGAGATTTGTAAGTTAAGGTTCTACTTTTAGAGATATAAAGGATTTAATATTTGAAAAAGTGCGAAATATGCCATTTTCAAGACAGAAAAACCATAAGGAATAACGGAAATGTTAATGTCGCCAAGGTTCTCAAACATTCTTCAAACATCCATTATTCAACTCCAAAAGCATCTTGGGGTGTGCTCACGTTGATTAAACATTGAGCGAGCGCTTGGTTATTAATTAAAAAACTAAAGTTCACAATAAAAAACCCTGTGTTCAGAGGGAAAATACATTTTTTGAATTTGTTAAAAAAAAAGTTCAATAATTTTAGTCAAAATTTTGGGCCTGGTAAAATGGAGATTCATTAAAAGAGGTTTTTGAATAAGATTTAGAATATTACTTGTTCCGGACAAACTGTATTATTTTAAGTTAAACAAATCACAGAAAACCGTCATTAGCAAGTATGAAGCAGTAGGTATTGCGTCTCTGTCGCTTTACGATAGAGGCTAGTTTGAATGTCACTAAATGTGTGCTGTTATTTATTGACATGTTTGGCTTGTTGAAATATCGTGGTAAGTTAAAATATAAAATTGAGGGTACTTGCAGTGGTCCCATGTACCCATCGAGGCATTTGCATTCTCCTGACACATGGTCGCAGTCGCCATGCTCACACCTGCACTTCTCCAAGCATTCTTGTCCATAGTAACCTTTGTCGCACCGCTTCTCGCAATGTTTGCCGATCCATCCACGCCTGCAGCGGCATTCGCCATTGAAGGGATCACAGGTGGAGTTGTTCTGACATTCGCATTTGTTTTGGCACTCGATGCCCCACAGGCCTTTGGGGCAAGCTGTAAATGAACAAAGTAGTATTTAGATTTGACTTCAAGACTACCAGTTCGAAGGAAACGTATGTGAGAATTTCAGGGCGTTTTACTTTTTACTTTAATAAAAAAAACTTCATATGAACACACGCATATTGAAATTTGAGATACAGGTTGACAAAGTTTTCCAGAAATTATTTACTCATGAATAAACATTTCCTGATATACATATCTTTTTTTTTTAATTTTTTCCGAGTGGCGTTCGTGCTTCGTTTGATCCGAATAGTTTTCAAGTAAAGTGAGGTAATCAACTGTTCTTTCTCGTGGCAAATATTGTTTTTACAATCCTGCTTTACTTCAGAGCAAATTTGATTTCTTGATTTTCTATCCAACTTACGGTTTTCCACGTAAAAATTAACCATTTCTTTCGCTATAACGTGGAAACTGATAAAAGATAACATAACACAGTAGTAATAATATTTCTTTATTATTATATTTTTCTAATCGAAAAAACCAGTAGCGACCATTTTTTACTTACCACGCCTACTGACTATTTTCGAAAATGGGATATTATGTTTTTTGAATGTTATATGACATGTATATCACGAAAAACCATGTCGCTCATTTCCGTCGGACTGTCTGTCTGCGGCCTGTCCGCTAATCTTATAACCGCCTATAACTCGAGAAGTAGACCTCGGATTTCGATTAAATTTTTGTACATTACTATACTATGCCAAGGACGCAAAAGCTTTGTTGTTATTTAAAATCGAGAAAAAAGCCAAAAACGAAAAAGAATAAAAATCGCTTAAACTTCGTTTTTTGATCCTCGTCATTATTGAAAAAAAATTTAGAGACAAAAAACCTGGGGTGGGGTTATAGAGGGGGGTAGATAGGGTTTATCTCATTTTATCCCCGATAGCACGAAATATTCGTTAAATATTTATTCAATATTTAATAATATTTTTATCTTTCTTAAATATTTGTTTTCTTAAACATATTTAATAAATATTTGTAATATAATATTTTTATTAGATATTTATTCAATATCTTTTAAATATTTTAAATACAATATTCCTTTTATAATATTCATTAAATATTTACTTTTCAATCAATGGAAAATATTAAATCTCCAATATTTAGAAAATATTCATTAAATATTTACGGCTACGGCGCATGTGCGTGTGACCCGGAGCGACCAATGGCATAATAGAAAGCCGGTCTGCGCCGACCCGTTTGCGCGTTTGCCGCATCCATTTTGCCTGTTACATTCACTATGATAGCGTCCTTCCTGTGTACCTCCAAGTTGTACATTATTTCAGTGTTTTTTTTTTTTGGAAAATTGAAAAGTGTAAGTTTTTCGATAATTGCATAACCTAATTTATCTGACTAATAAATATTATTGTGCCAGTTGAGTATAAAGGTATTCACAAGATCATGAATAACTAGCCTTGAAGTGTAACAGTTATTTGGTATTGGTGGATTTATCCGAGAATGGATACGAAAATTATATTCATTACAGCCAAATGAAAAGTCGTATAATCGCAACTTGATCGAGATACATGAAAAATGCTCTTTTAAATATCACAATTATTGTTATTTTTTTCGTAGTAGGGAACAGATCAGCTGTAACTATTTTAAAATTTTTAAATTCAACAGTGACGTTCCAAAATTTTAACAGTCGCAAATACTATATTTTTGTCCCTTGAATTATAATATAAAATCACAAAATAGTTATAACTAAATTAGTCCCCCTTACTAAAAAAAGTCACATTTCAACAAAATCAGTAAGTGGTCTATTTTCAAAAACCTTTTGTTTGAAAGTTAGTCAAAGGATCAAGTTGTTCCCATGGACACTTTTCATCAAGATACTTAAAATAAAAAATTAACCAAATCTCGAGCTATCATAGGCAGAAAATGTGGGGTCCTTTCAGGTGCATTATAGAGCTACTTTTCAGTGACCCAGTTGAGCTACTCGGAGTAACTCAGGTCAGCATGCTCAGCACCAATATTGTTGCACTGCATTTTATATTCCCATAAATACACTGGAAAGCAGCTTATGTATTCAATAATACTTCATAATTAGTAAGTTTGTTTTATTAGAGGAGTGAACTTGCAAGATGCAGAAGAGGCTTAGAAAGTTTTCTCAAAGATATTTTTCTAGCAAATTAAACCAGAATGAATTTTCTTTATAAACCCAATTTTATATAAGCATTCCTACAGATTTTGCTAAAATAACAAATGAATAAATTTCCTATATACACTGAAAATATGTATCAGATTAATGTTTGAAAATCCGTACATATTTACGGAAAATATTAGATATTTCATCAAAATGTAAAATTGATATTTAAAAATCTTTCCTCATATATTTTCTAAATATTTGGAAAAAATATCGCTAAAATATATGAGGTATATATATATACTATAAATATCTATAATGAATATTTTATCAATATATAAGAAATATATTTATTAAATATTAAAAAATCGGTCGCTACAAATATTTAACAAACATTTTTTTAAACTATTTAATAAATATTTAATGCTATCGGCGATGTTAGTACATTTATACGCCCTCAACCTTGGTAATGCTACGCATCTATTAGACATATTCTAGATCAGCCCTTAAAACTTTAGCCAGTTTATAGGGTGTCGACGCGAAGGGCCTATATGATTTTCCTTACTTTGAGATAATTTTTCCAAAAAAAAATCGTCATTTTCGTTTTCATTACATCTTATTAGCAACTATGAGGTTCATATAAAACACTTACTGAATTTGCAAACAGGTTGAATGCAGATAACAAATGCAATATTTTAAAATGAATGTGGAATAGTGGTAATCTGCAAAGATTTTTATGACTACTCAAAAACTTCAAAACTTGACTCCCCCCGCTACTTTCGTTTTTCTCTGAAAATTACGCAACTTCTCTGGCTTGCAGGTTGCATGAGCACGATGATTTGAGATTTATTATTATATTTCAATGTACACTCCGAAGATATTTACAATAATAATTGTAATAATAATAATAAATCGTCTTTATTTATAAAGTTACATAGTATCGGGCGAAGTTTAGCTAAATAGCTACTCTTCCACTTAACCCTATTATTTTCATGGTTGTGAACCAATGTAAATACATGTAATTAACATGTATATATATACAGTGGCCAACCAAAGGAAAACAAAAATATTGTAAGACATAATATAGAAAATATAAACAGATTCAGCAACACGTCAAATAAAATTTTTCTGGCGGTTACTAATCTAAACTACAAACTACTACTTAATTACTACTACGAGTCATTTTTGATAGCAAATGCTGCTTGACACAAACTTTAAATTTAGTTTGAGATAAATTTTTGAATGCATCAGGTAGCACGTTATACAGTTTGACACAATTATACCTAAAAGAGCGAGTAAATAAAGCCGTACGGTGCCGTGGAATATCTAATAATTTGCCATACCTGAGCATGCGATCTCTAACTGATTGCCTGAAAACAATTTTTTTGAAGAGGTATTCGGGAGTTCCCGTGATAATCAAATTATAAATGAACTTCAAGATAAGATACTCGTAAGAGCTATTAATATCTAACCATTTTAAACTACGAATACAGTGTGAAACATGGTCATATTTTCTTAAACCGTAGATGAGGCGACAGCACGAATTTTGAATCAGTTGAAGTCTGCGAATTGAGACTTGATCTAAGTAAGGATAGAAAACTATAAGGCAGAAGTTGATTTTTGAGAGAACTAGGCTTTCACAAAGATGTTTTTTCAATTTGAAATTGATGAAATGCCTATTAACAAACAATGTTTTTAGTACAACAAAGCAGTTTCTTACTAATTTAGATATATGCTCACGAAAACGTAAATCCTTGTCAAGTAAGACACCCAAATTTTTTGCAAGATCCTCATAAACTAAAGAAGTGTCATTAATCCGTACTGTCGTGTTATTTCTGATATTAATGATTTTGTTTTTTGGTGCAAAGAGAACAGCTTTAGATTTAGAGGCATTTATCGTTAAGGAGCTATGCTTGGAAAAACTAACAATAGTGGCTAAGTCACAATTCAACTCGTCAACAGCTGCTACACAGTCATCTGGATCAAAAGTTTTACATATTTGTGTATCATCCGCAAAAATCATCACTTCAGAGGAGCGTATCAGTTTACACATGTCTGATATGTAAATGGAGAACAATAGCGGTCCTAAAACAGAGCCTTGAGGGACCCCTGATATCACATTCTTATATGTCGTATATGAGTTGACCAAATGTACCCTTTGCATACGATTCATGAGATAACAAGTAATGAACTTGATAGATGCTTGAGAAAATCCAATATATTTGCATTTTGAGATCAAAAGTGAATGATTGATAGTGTCAAAAGCCTTGGAGAAGTCAAGCAGTACAAGAGCCGCTGGTTGACCCCGATCCAAAGCCTCAACAATATCATCAGTCACCTTAAGCAGGACAGTGGTGGTGCTATTCCCTACTTTGAAGCCAGACTGATTTTTTGGAATTATGTTATTCTCAGAGCAGTACTCTTTCAATTGATCATGTACTATCCTTTCCAATATTTTTGATAGAATCGGAAGTAAACTTATTGGGCGCAGGTCGGAATAAGCTGAAGGGTTATTAGTTTTTGCCAAGGGAACAATTACTGCTTGCTTCCATGCAGAGGGAAAATAGTGAAGTTCCAAACAAGAATTAATCAAATGCGTTAAATATTTGCCAATCACAGGAAGACACAGTTTTATCATATTAGGCGTAATACCATCATGCCCACAGGCATTAGATTTTATTTTAAATAAATGCGAACGTATATCTTCCTCAGTGGTCATGACCAGATCAAATTTGAGCGATTCATCAAGTATGTTATTATCATAAAATTCTATTTCACTAGCACAGTGCTGAGTATTATCTTCAAAAACAGATAAAAAATAATCATTTATCTGCGTTGCGTTACGTAAACTAACAGGTATGTGGTTACGCTTCTTAGTCTGGATGTTCAAATTCCTTATATAAAGAAGAT